CTATCAACAAAAATCAAAGGCCACTCATATTTTGGAAGCGGATAAGAGCACCAAGTATTTTCGTGCCATCGTCAAAAGGAATATGGCCCGTAATTCTATATCTTCTATTACTTTGACGGATGGTAGTCTCACTACTTCTTTGGAACAAGTGGGCACTGAATTTGTGAGCTTTTTCATTGCTTTATTTGGCACTCACGTGGACTCCATGGAGATTGATCCTTCGGTCTTGGCAAGTGGGACATTGATTGATCAAACTGTTCGTGATAGACTTATTGATCCCATTACGGATTTAGATATTAAATCTTCTCTTTTTGATATCGACAACGACAAATCACCAGGTCCAGATGGTTACTGACGTGCACTTGTCGTGAGATGCACTCAAAATAATTATTCAATACTATCACTAATACGTAGTATAGCGTAGTAGAGTTCGTATCCACAGGGAAAGGAAATTACTCTCTTTTTATGAACTTAATAAATAAAAGGGGGGTTTTGGGTTTGAATGATTTAATTTAATTAAGAACTAAGATGAACAACCTATATGTGTTTAATTCAAAGATAAAAAGGATTTGGCATTGCTACTTTCCACTTGTTGATATATTTTAGTCGATCATTGTTATTTCTATAACTTATTCCCTCTCGAATACTCAATCGGGGAGTATATCCACTTCATCGAGGATAGTTATTAACAACAACCGTTCATTAATAACCCTTACTATTAATCAAATATAGAACAACGCCTTATACCGATTTAATAATAGCATTTAATCTTTATAACTCCTTGATGAAATCAATTGAGATTGATAACCTCAACACAACGGTTTCGGTTTAACCAACAAAATTAATCTCTCTTAAGTTTATTAACCACGACCGTGCATTAATAAACCGAAGTTACTTACTTGTGAAACCATCAACGATTAACCATCGGTTCGTTGATCGTTTCTAGTAATAATTAATATATGAAACAAAACTAGTTGATCCTTTAAGTAATGTTCAAAATATTAATATAAAATATGAGTAGGAATTAATTAATATTCAAGGAAAAATATTATTAAAGAAGATGAATCCTACTATAATTAATATCAAGATGTTAACTAATTGTCATCTTAGCAACACTCCCCAACATTAATATAGAGGAAGAAAATACTATTCTAACTAATGTCTAGATGTTAACTAATTATCATCTTAGCAACACTCCCCAACATTAATATAGAGATGGTATTAAGGAAAGAACTATTAATTAATATTCAAGGAAAGAAGTTAAGAAAATAACTCACAACTTTGATAATCAACAAGCTTCAAGAGCAACACCAAGAAATGGAAGTTTAGCTCCTCATTTGGAGACTAAACATGCTATAAAAATATAAAGAAATGCTATTCTAAACTGAGCTTAGGAGTATATGTGAATTGGTGATTTTATTGTGAAGGAAAGGGGTGTATTTATAGGCTTTTGGGAGCTGCATGGTCTGATACCCGACCGGGTATCTTAGGAAATTTCCCAGAAATTCACTTTTCTGGGCATACCCGATCGGGTGTGTCAGCATACCCGATCGGGTATGTGACGAATCTTTACGAAAATTTGCTCCCACGATCATTTGTTCCCGGATTTTATTTGGACAATCGAATCAAGCAAATACCCGATCGGGTATAGGCAATACCCGACCGGGTACATGAGTATTTTTCCCAAATCGAAATCTTTCTAGCCTCCTTGCACTTCCCTTGATCTTTTAAGGTCCAATCTTGATCCCTTGGATGATCTTTGACCTGTTTAGCTCAGAAAAGTCCTAATCTAAACAAATTAAAAATAAATATGAAAGTAAAGTATTACACCAAAAGTGTGTAATTTCCTCAACTAGAAATAATAAAAACTAGTTAAAAATACAAACATACAATCAGAAATTACATGAATATCACTTACTCTTCAGCTTTCTTTAAAGCTAATTGGCAACTGATCGGTGACGATGTCACGAGGGCTGTTATGGAATTCTTCTCTTTCGGGAAATTGCTCAAGCAAGTGAATCACACGATTGTTGCTCTGATCGCCAAGACTAATCATGTGCCTAAAGTGTCAGATTATAGGCCCATCTCTTGCACAAAATGTGGTCTATAAAATCATTACTAAGATTCTGGCTAACCGTATTGCACCGTGCCTTCCAGCTTCGGTAGATCCCGCCCAGAGGGCCTTTGTAGATGGCCGACTTATGTTCGATAATATTTTTTTTTGCTCGAGAGCAGGTGTGTGGCTACACAAGAAAGCGCATCTCTCCTCGATCGATGATTAAAGTCGATTTGAGGAAAGCTTATGATACCATATCCTAGACCTTCTTAGAGAATATTCTTATTGGCATGGGCTTCCACGGTTTATTGGCGTTACTAATGCGACTTTCTCTATAACTCTTAATGGCTCGCTGTTTGGTTGGTTTAAAGGCAAAAGGGGTATCCGACAAGGGGATCCGATGTCCCCCCTCTTTTTTGTCCTTTGCCTTGAGTACTTTTCCCGATTGATGAAGATGAAAATGAAAGCCTCGGGGTTTAATTACCACCCCCTTTGTTCCTCTCTTTCTATTACTCATTTGGCATATGTCGACCATCTCATGCTTTTCTCAAGAGGTGATGTTCATTCTATCAATATTTTGGTGAAAGCCCTTGAAAAATTTGGAGATACTTCTGGTCTCAAAATTAATCATGGAACATCCAGCATTTTTATTGGTGGTGTTGCGGACTATGATATTGCTAATATCCTTGACTTGGTTGATTTTGGTCATGGGACTTTCCCCGTCAAATACTTGGGTATACCGCTTGCCCCTCTTCGGGTTTCTGGTTCACAATACTCTCCACTTCTAGATACTATAACGGACTTCCTGAATGCTTGGAATGCCAAATCTATATCTTATGCCGAAAAGCTCGAACTCATTTGATCGGTTGTACAAGGCGTACAATCTTTTTGGCTTCAGGTTATCCCGGTTCCCCAAGCTATTTTGGACAGGATCGTGTCTATTTGCAGGATTTTTCTTTGGGGAGGTAAATATGCTAAAGTGTCATGGGATGACATCTGTCTCCCAAAGAATGAGGGTGGCCTTGGAATTCATTGTGCTAAAGTCTGGAATGAGGCTTTACTTGCGCGTACTCTTTGGAATATTCACAAAAAAGAAGACATCCTTTGGGTTCGCTGCGTTAATGGAGTTTATCTTAAAGGAAAAAGTGTGTGGGATTTTTCCTCACACAACCAGGACTCCCAGCTTATGAAGAAACATTGCCTTATCTGTAATAGGATCTGCCAGAAATTTCACAACACAAATGAGGCTGTTATGGCTTTGAACAATATGTGTAACAACGTCAAACTCATTTCGGTGAAGGTTTATGATTTACTGTGCACTAAGGGCACGGCTAGACCTTGGATGCCGTTTATTTGGAAGGGGTACATTCCCCCTAAATTTTCTTTCACCGTTTGGCTTGCTTTCCGGAACCGGTTACCTACACAAGATAATCTTTCCTATCTTAGTATGGTTAACCGGTGTGACCTTTGTAAGGGTGGTTTGGAAACAACACCACACCTTTTCTTTGTTTGTCCTTTTGTGTGCAAGATCTGGACGAGGACTAGGGACTGGATTGGAATTACAAAACAGATGACCACCTTGGAGAAAGCAATAAAGTGGATTAAGAGGGACAATGGAGGTGCACTCATCAAATCAAAAACAATTCGCTTGGCTTTCTGTGCGATAATTTATTGGGTTTGGCATACTAGGAATGCTCGTCGCTTCGATGATATTACAAAGATAGGGATGGACTCGAGCCGGGTGGCCCGACCCGGAACCAGCCCGGGACCGGTACTGTTCCGACCCGGCCCGACCCGGTGGCCCGGTCAGTGACCGGTCCGGGTAGGCCCGGCCCGTGGGTTTTCCGGTCCGGGCTCGGGTCACCCAAAACAAGGCCTGACCCAGCCGGGCCCGGACCCAGTTCGGGCCAAAACCTATTTTTTTTTCAATTTTGTTTAAATTTTCGGGTTGGGCTGGGTATTTTGGGCCATTTGGGGTGGTTTGGGGGGTTGGGGTGGGAGAGGGGTTAATTAGGAAGAGGAAAACAAAAAAAAATGATAATGGGCCCAGCCCGAACCCGGTGGTTACCCGGGCCGGTCCCGAGTCCATCCCAATACAAAGACTGAAGATGATGTTGTAGCAAAGATCAAGCACATGGTTTACAAGATTCTCTACAAATTCTATCCTTATGAATTGATCACTTTTTGATTTCCACGGCTTGTGTATGTTACAACCTCTGATGGCTTGTTTTGCCTTATAACCTTTTTTGATTTTGGACAGACCCTTTTTTTAGGTGTACATCTTGCTTGATTATGGATGAACCCGGGCCAAGCCGGTTCCGGTTCAGGCCTAGGCCTGGTCGAGCTTATTTTTGGGAATGGGTGAACCAAGACCGGCTCGAGTAGGCAGCGATTCCAAGCCAAGCCGGTTCCGGTTCAATTTTTTTTTTGATTTCTTATTTATTTCACCCCCCATCCCCCCAAACCCCTCAGAAATACCCAGCCCAGACCAACTAAACCCAACCCAAACCCAAAAAATCAAAAAAAAATTAAAAAAGGCCCAAACCGGGCCCAGGCCGGCCAGGCCGGTTCACTAAATTGAAGGCCTGTACCTGACCCGCCCCAATCCCCGGGCCGGGCCTAGGCCCGGAACCGGTTAGCCAAGACCAGGCCAGTCCGAGCCCACACAGTGGCAGGCCGGGCCGGTTCACGGGCCGGGCGACCGGCCCCGTTCCATCCCTATGCTTGATTAGTTGGTGACCAACCTTGTTGGTAGGTTGCCTTATAGTTTTGGACGCATGTGTATTGTGTACATGTTATTTTTCGGATGATATATATATATATATATATATATATATATATATATATATATTTACATGTTATTTTTCGGATGATATATATATATATATATATATATATATATATATATATATATTTACAGGTTCATCCAAAAAAAGAGAACAACCAAGAGACTAAAATTGTGGTTCTCCGGTGGATACAGTTCAACTACATGGAGATACAGTTCATTTTAAAGCATAAATTTACACCAACAAAACCATGTCAACAAATGTTCTAGTTAACCGCCCTCCAAGTGGTCAGACAAATTATAAATTTCCACAACCAAAATGTTCAGACTGATGGGAAGTATTTGTTGAGGTTGAAAGGGAGAGAATAGAATTCTTCACTTCTCGTGTCCGACTTGAAAGACCTGAACTTGTCCCACCAATGCTTGCCACGATCTTTCCTGGTCTGATTATCCTTCTTGCCCATCGTGTTATCCAAGAAATAAGCTACGATCCCAGCAACAAAAGCTTTTGACATGAATGGAATATTGACGATGTCGTTGAACTAATCAATATAAGTAATAACAAAAAAAATTAGTGGGGTATATTTTACAGATTTTCGTAAAATATTACTAAAACAGAACTCATCATAAAAATATGACAACATGCATGATAATTGCAATAATCAAGTCAGTAAAATCAAACATTACTATGGTCACTAGTTCACTACGGTACCAGTGTACGTACCGCTATGGGGTGAGGACAACTTGAGAGATGGATGTGGGTTAACTTGGTTCAGAACAAGTTACCAAACCATGGGATGCCAAACTTTCATTCATGCATTCATCATCATTACCCCAGTGCCGCAAAGGCTTCCCACCTACGGTGGGGTAAGGGGGGGTCGGATGTCAAACTACATTCAAATACTATATTAATTCGGGCCTTACTCAACCCATAAGAGCTTTCAAGAACTAAAGATGGTTCTGACACTCAATTAAGAGGTTCTTTAACTTCATGTTTTATTGATCTGGGATAGCTCCAACTCCTTCACTCGAGGGCCAACAACCGAGACATACTTTTCGCATGACTTTTATAGTGTCTCATTATCATGTCTACAAGAGTACTCATTCAGAGACCATATTAGCAGTAAGTATATGACATTATGACTTGATTCACTAGAAAACATTCTCATGAAATAAAAGCTCTTCATATTTATACTCCCTCCGGTCCGTATTAAAGTTCTCACTTTCCTTTTTGGGATGTCCCTTATTTAAGTTCACACTTCCATTGTAGGAAACAAAACAGTGCAAAACAGTGCCAAACAGTGTCCAAACAATGCACTCCACAGTAAAGTCAAATTTATTTTCTTAATCTGTGTGAAGTCAAACTGGGAACTTTAATAGGGACCGGAGGGAGTATTAAACACAAATCCAAAACATTTATAAAGATTTGTAGACACAATGGCAGTTAGTCTCCACAGGAATGAGATTTAAAATATAACCATGGCACTGGTTTTTTACTGTGTAAATTTATATGGTTGACTACTTTTTTTAATGTAAGACAGTACTAAGAGCCTGTTTGGTAAAGCATTTAGTAACATACATTTCGGAAATATAAGAGCATGTTCAGTGTAATATACATACTTTCACAAGAATTTTTTAATCATTTAAGCACTAGACTGTTTTTTAACAAGCTCCATTTCAGTGTTGTTTTAAAAATTAGAATTAGTTAAAAGCACTTGTTTGATTTGTTTCCAATTCCTTCCCAACACTTCATCTTAAAGTAAAAACGATTTTCCACATAAAAGCACTTATTCTTCCAAAATATTCCATCTCAATGGCAGCCTAAGTACGTCCAAAGCTACATATTTTATGAATAAAGACATACATAATAAGATGGATCTGACTACCAAATGGAATTAAGGTGCAAATGAAAATGAAAGAATATGAAAACACGTAATTAGGTTTCTAGAGCACCAATTGGAATGAATATAAGAACATACCCATCTTCCGCTAGTGTGAACGGGTCCATAACCCTTGATGGCGATGTGCTCATTGAAGTATTGAGGGATGGAAATTCCAAGAAAGATCGAGAAGCCAAGTATGAACTTTGTCCGAAAACTATTCAGATTGCAGAATTGAAGCAAACTTAGGCCTCCCGCACCTGATTAACCACCGAATGATCAAACCATTAGAGCACAAATCGTAAAGGAGTATATGCATTGCTTCTAAAAAGGGCTTCTATTACATTAAAAAGTTAAAAATAGCAAGTATAAGTTATTGCTTATGCTTAATTTCAAACACTATAAAGCTGAAAGCTACAAGTGTTTTTCACTTTTTCTGTAGTAATTCACCTAATTAATAAACACAAAAGCCAGAAGCGTTTACTATTAAACATTTGCTTTATAATCTCTAAAACAAATCATTTCTCAAAAGCACAAGCAAGCATGGGTCGTTTACTAACAGGAAAAATTCAGACACGGAAAGCATATTTACTAATTATGTTTTCCTGAATTTAGAAAGCAGAAAACATGTTTACTTCATGGGTTTTCTAATTTAGAAAGCAGAAAACAGATCACCAATATCTCTGTTTTTCCATAAGACTAGAAAACACTTTTTTCTTTTGCAAAATCAGAAAACGTTTTCCACATATTTCACCAACGATGATCTCTAAAAGACCAAACCAAATGTATCCTCTCATCACCATTGCCAGTGACCCCACCCTGCCCTCACCCCAGACCCCCTATCTCACTCACCTCTCATTACCCCAACCAGCTCCAACACAATCTATGAATACCGCTATTGTCACTACGATTACCTGTCCAATGAGACTAGGGATATAAACAATGATAACTTAATTTTGGTATTTCGGTATATTACCGCTACCATGTATGAATTTCAACATCAACAATAGACAAAGCCTTAGTCCCAAAAGAATTTGGGGGCAGCCAACGTGAATCGATATATGAATTTCAGTGTAACAAAATTCAACAATTTTGGTACCCTTCATCGTGAATTTCACATAAACCAGAACTCTCATTTTGTTGATGGTATGAATCAAGAAGTGTAGTATACTCTACCGAATCAACCCCTATCAGTGACCACCACAACTGCTAGCAACCATTGTCACTACTAGCATTGACGACCGCCAACACATCCTTCTATCGACGCTACTACATCTCCAACCACAGCAGCACCGCTGAAATATATCTCCATCATCAGTCACTTTCGCTTCTTCATGTGGGCCCAACACCATACATATGATATTTGATGTGTGTTTCCAAATCATATTTTATAATTCGAAACATGAAATAGAGAATGTAAAAACTAGAGAATGTAAATAGAAATCAAAAACTGAAAAACACGGTAGCAAACAGGCCCTAATAGTTTTCCAAAAAATCAAACTCAATAAACCTTGCATTCATAGCCTGTCTCTGTTTCTAAAACTCTCTATGTACATACCTACGTATGCAAAGAAGAGGCAATATATTGCTGCAACAATGGGCGCTGGAATCGAGGCAAAGACAGCTCCAAATTTTCCTGATTAACACTTTGTCAAACTAGTGAAAAATAACCGGGAAAGAAATAGAGAGGAAATAATACGATATGTTTAGATATCGGGAAATGTTTGGTAAAGAGGAAGAAATGCCATGGAAAGTTAATGTTTTATGATTAAAATTATTATATATATGCTTTATTGTGTTGAAATGATTTATTAGTATTCATAAATATCTTTTACATATGTTTAGATTTCTTAGCCTTCATAAGAGAGTAATAAAAAAAGTTTGAAGTCTGAACGAATATTAATAGTGGTATTATTTAGCTATTTGTCGATACCCTTAATTTATGTCTATCATATAAAGACTGGAACATTGAAATAAATGTGATTATAAAATTAACAATATTTCTCTTTTCTTTTCAGTTTCCATAGTAAACCTGCACTTAACAACATAACTTTTCTTAGATTCTTTTCTCTTTTCCCTAAATTTTAGGGATCCAAAATACTCCAAAGATTGCTGAAGGAGATACATAAATGCACATATTTATTTTACCAAGGATAGAAAAGAAAATCATGAAGCCAGCAGATATCTGAACGACCCTGCGGCTGCCCACACGGGTAAGTGCTAGAAGACCGGCATTCTCACTAAGGAGGCAAATATTTCATGAAAAGATTTATTAATTAAGATCTCTTGCAACAATTGTATTATGGATGACAAAAGATTTTAACACAGAGTAACTAACTTACATTGAGACAGAAGAACCAGTACCCGTTCCAAACAACCCCGATAATAAAATTCCTATTCCCTGCAATATTTTACAATATTTGAAGTCGCTGTACTAAACACATCAAAATGTGGGTGAAAATAAAGAACTTTTTCAAACTTGAGAAATCATGTTGAAATGTTTGTCCTATACCGACTAAATATACTCTTACTATGAAGTTAGCTTTTAAGATTAAAACTTCAAGTCTCCTCGTATAAGAACCATCCCGATCTATAGCCTTAGTGTGAACTCTATGACAAAAAATGCACTGCCCAAGAAAACAGGATTTTGAGTGTATAAATGCATGCTCCAATTGTATGTGTCTTAATGATATGAGAAAAATAAAACGCGCAATCTAGACAAGATGTCTGGTCATAAGGGGAGATGATAAGTGTTTGTCACATACAATGGAACATATAGATTTTAGGCTGATCTTTTAGCATGGAATCCCAAGTCTTTTGACATTAACTTCTTCAAACTCTTTTTATGTTAAGATTTTATCATTTTCTTAAATAAATGTAAAGATTCAAAAACTTGTAATAAATTTTCTATTTTCCCTTCTATTTTTTCCCTTTCCTCCTCCATTTTTCGTAGTTCCAAACATAGCCAATAGAAAGGTACCCAGGAAGTGGAGAGATGACTTGAGAAGATATGATATGTCAGCAATTCAGCAAGAAATCAAAATTTACCTGCCAACCTACACCGCGGCTGAGAATGGACGGTGGGATGTGGGTTGCACTAGCAAACCTTGCAACAGCAATAAAACCACCAGTAGACTGCCAAGAAATGGGAATTCAGGCCAAGGCGAGATAGAAAAAGGGAGAAAACTCCATGCACACACATGTACACATGCATGTATCTGTGCATGCATATACAAACATTTTGTACACACATACATGTAAACATGCATACATACAAAAGATAAAACCTATACCCTCCATCGCACTTTAATCAGCAATTCTAAAAGGCCCATGGATACACTTAAATGTGCCCACACTACAAATATGAAAATAAACTCAAGCGGTCCATTATGTCCGCATGACTTTATTTCCCAATTTGGTAGTGTGGGCATATTTAAGTATGCTCACATGGCCTCCTTTAAATGTCATAGACCACAAGACTGTTTGCGGTTAAAGAAATTCTTAAACTTCAACTGATTCATTTAATCGGTATATTTTAATAAAAATTAAACTATGCACTTTTATGGGAGTGCCCTTAACAAAATATGTTTTTATATTTACCGCTAACATATAGGACATCATCATTGTGATTGAATTTTTGTGGTATGGTACACTCTAATCCCATCCGAACTGAACCGTTTAGGTCTATTTAAGTCTGATCTTGTTTGACATTATGAGTATTTTATTATTTCTTGTGAAAGTATTATTGTATCTAAGAATATGCTTTAGGAATATACTCTAGACATTATTATTGTATAGCATCTTATATAGGAATATTCCATCTTTGTAATATATATAGGGCCTTAACCCTCTAATGAAATATATAGAAAACTCCTTTCTCCTCTCTCTCTCTCTCTATTGTTATTATTAGAGAGAATTACTTAAATAGGAGTAAAAAAGTTTTGAAATTCTAAAATAGGAGTATCATGTTTTTTATTCCTTGAATAAGAGTAAATTTTTGACAAGATTGGCATTACTAGGCTTTAAAACATGGCATTTTTTTCCAAACTTGGCAGATTACTCCTATTCAGGGAATAAAAAACATGATACTCCTATTTTGGAATTTAAAAATGTTTTTGCTCCTATTTAGAGCAATTTCTATTATTATTATTCTAGTTTATATTTCAACATGGTATCAGAGCCATCCATTTGAGTTTATTTAAGATTTCAGTTTAGTTTTCAAACTCTGTTCTTTCTCCGAGAGCCCGAGTTCAGAACCTCTAGGTACCATTTTGTCTCCCAGAAACTCAGTCCAGGACAGAACCTCTCTACGCACCATTAAACAGAACCTCTATTCAGAACCTTAATTCAAACAAATTCAGAACCTCGGTACAAACTTTTTTAAAGCGAAAAGCGTCCAAAAGCGATGACCCGGGGCTTTGCTTAAAAGCGAAAGCGCTAAGCGAAGCGTAGCTTTCTCACAAAAAACGATGCTTAAAAAAAATAAAAGAAGATATAAAATATAATGTATAATTATGCCAAAAATGCATTAGTAGTCAAAAAGTCATTCAAAATATTACTAGTGCGGCATAAAGTTTCAAAACCTTCATCACACATTAATCAATAAACTGAAAGTAATAAACTGGAATTTAATTTAGCTCCGAATACATTTGAGTAACTAACTACTAATGTGAAGACAGATTGATCTTTCTGTAAATAATTTACTTATTTACTACATTAATTCTTGATAGAATAATAAGTACAATTACTAGTTACTACCAAAAATCTTAAAAACTAAAAAAACTTAGGTCTGAAACAAATAGAAGGCATCAAGGCAGGCGATGTTCTCTGTAACAAGAGGAAAGATATCAAACTAAAAAAAATAGAGTACTTCGTATAACTGTATAAGTGAGCTGTGAGGGACGATGTTCAGACTCAGGAAGAAACTATTGATGAAAGACAACCTGCGGCTCACAAGCGAGTGGGAGATTTCAATCCGGAGGGAAGTCTGGGCGAAGTGGCGAACTCTCTGCCTCTTTCTTCACATGCGGCTATGTGTGGAGTGTCGAAAGTGTCGAATGACTCTCCTAGATAACCCTAACATGTAGCGACAGCAGGTAAAGCTAAAACTAAAAAAAAGTTGACTGGTCAAATGATCGTTTTTTGTGAAAAGCGATGAAAAGCGAACGCTTTTCTCCCAAGCGGGCTCCAGAAAAGCGACGGTAAAGCGCCGCTTTCTCACGCACAGACGCTTTTCAAAAGCCAGGCGCAGATGATGCGCTCGCCTGCGCTTTGTCGCTTAATGGCGCTTTTGAGAGCTTTTAATAAGTTTGCCTCAGTATCAAGCACACTGCACCATTCAGAATCTGCCAGGTGCCCAGGTCCGAACATCTGCCCAGGTCCAACCATCCCGGTTGCCTCCGACCCGGCGTTGGAAGTTCGCAGCTGCAAGTCGACGCCCATCAGTCACACGACCTCCAGAAGCACTCACTACAACAGGTATTTGATCGGAACTCTTCACAAAACCTCAAAGCCATCTCTTTGTACACGTTACTTCCAGGTATTCTTCTCTCGTTCTTTCTCAAGCAAGGGACGGAATCCGACGGATATCTCTGTGGGCCGGAGGAATTCTTGTTGGTCGCTAGTATCTGGCATCGTATATCTATGGATATCCTCCCCTTCGACTGATTGTTGAAGATCGTATCTATTTAGCGCATCCGTTTTCTTCCCGAGTCCAAGGATGAAACTTGAAGAGTCCGTAGCAGTAAAGCCCAATTGATTGGTTATTTTATTAAAGTTTTTTGAGGCCACAAACGAGAAGGCTGCGGTAAGTTTCCATTGCTATCTAAGTTTTGAGCTTAATTGCTAAAAAAATCAAAAAAATCAAAAAAAGGAAAATAAAAAAAGAAAAAAAATGTCTTGTACGGGTCCATTTGGCAGAGGAGTAATATGCAATTACTGCAAGAAGCCCGGGCACTTGATCAAAGAATGTAGGAAATTGCAATTCAAGAATCAAGGAAATCGGCTTGGTCATGTTGCTTCCGCTACCAGTTCATCTGATGGATCAATTGTTATTTCTTCAGACGAGTATGCCAAATTTATTTCCTACCAAGAATTTCTAAAGCATTCATCTATCCCTATCTCGGTAGTCGCTAATTCAGGTATTTCAAACACATGTTTTCTTTTCTCATCCTCGAAATGGGTCATTGACTCAGGTGCCACAGATCATACGACTGGTAATCCTAATCTATTCTCATCATTTCATTCATATTTTCCTACTTCTAGTGTCACTTTAGCTGATGGATCTGTTCTTGGATCTAGTACTGTTGTCCCAACTTCTACACTACTATTATCACCTGTTTTAAGTCTTCCTAATTTTGCATTTAATATGCTTTCCATCAATAAAATCACATGTACTCTTAATTGTTCGGTAACATTTTTTCCTGGATATTGTGTGTTTCAAGATTTGTTGACAAAACAGACTATTGGTAAAGGACATGAGTCAACTGGTCTTTATATTTTGGATACATCAATCACAAAAGGTATCTCTTGTCTTGGGGTTGGAAATCTATTAGAAGCTCATTACCGATTAGGACATCCATCTCTCACACTAATGAAGCAAATATATCCTCAGTTTAATAAGGTGTCATTTATACAATGTGAGTCGTGTGAATTTGCACAACATCATCGTACTAGTTTAAGTCCTCGACTTAATAAACGAGCAAAGGCTCCGTTTGATCTTGTTCATACTGATGTTTGGGGGACATGTCCTGTTGTGTCCAAATCTGGTTTCAAATATTTTGTTACATTTGTTGACGATTATTCTCGTATGACATGGTTATACTTTTTTGACCTTATTAGGTGACCTGTTGAATTTGATCTAGAATTGCAAATGAAGAGAGATCATCTCTCTAAAACGCTGGGCATATTTTGACACCGGTAATGAATTTCCGGCCACCTGGCCAGATTCCTCCACGCCCCCTGACCGGAAAACACAACATCCACCAAAGGAAAAATTCTGACTTTAACGTCTGGGACAACTCCAGGTATCCATATCACTGCCGCAATGAATGGAGCTACTCACCGCACAGCTCCATGCCCAGGTATCATGTAAGAAACTTTCCCAGATACCATTCCAGGGGATTTCCAAGTCTCACGCAATGGTATTCTGACCCTCACGGTAGACCCGTTTTCTACCCAGCCCACACTAACCTGCAAACATACAACTATGCTCAATACAACAATGATAAGCACCAGAAACAGGGATTTCATCTCAGAGTCAAGCCCGTGGCATCAGGGGAAACATGGTGCAAGGTAAGCCACAGGAGGCGGAGAAGCAACCATAACCACCGCTCCCCGACCATTCATGGATTTCCCACAGGCGGAAATTGTCCAACTGGTATTTTCAATCGCTACTCTTGTTTAGATTTAGAAGAGGAACACCCACTCCTCTCACACACGTTTGAACCGAAAATCCCTATTTTCCGTCTACCATTCGATTATCAACGCACCTTTGATAAAAAATGGGGACGGAATAGGGACAATTGCAATCGGAATCGAAGGATAGAATTTCAAAAGAGTCCTCATTCCAAGACCCCAGCTGTAGATGACGGAAGCAAATCGCGAAGACCGCTGGCAAACAGGATTAGAATTCCAGCCGCGGAACCTCACTCTGTCTCTGTAGGGTCCCCGGCAACTAGAGCAGGACAGGCAGGCACGGTAAACTCACCCACCTCAGCGCTGGACTTCTTGGGCATCATCGATTTAGTGGGAACCTCCGACTTCCCAACCGTCGACGACCGACGAGCAGTTGACAAAGAAAACAAGGGGGGAACACCGGCGGTCTCATCGCCGTCAACGCCAACAGCCATAGTGCCGATACACAAGGCAGATTCACTGGGCTCCAAATCGGGGTCTCAGGCGACTACAGGTTGCCAGAGTAGTGGCATTGGCGTGACGAAGCCGACAAGACAAGACGACTCAAATCTTGGCATCTCCATCACATTTCGTCCCTGAAGTCGCTGTCTCAGCGGTAGTGGGGTTACAGACCATTCGTCCAGGGCACGGTAACAGCTGTGGAATTATATCCAAGGAGCACAGTTTCACGTGGGCTAATGTTTTAAAATCCAACAAATTAAAATCCGTCACTCCTTGTA